ATATTCCTTACAACGGTGCGATTTAAACGACTCATCTGGTAAATCGTCCTTTTCTGTTATAATAAGGTCGGATAATTTGTACCACGTACGAGAATTGGATTCAAAGCAAAACATTGACCATATAAGTAATTCGGAAAAGAAAATTGATTACATAAATCATATTTGACTACAAAAAACGAATATGTAGAATTCAGTAGATTTCCCATTAGCGCATTTTTCGTGAAACCACTTTTTACAATTAATGGCTTTTCTCATATCTTAGGATAACCATCTTCCATCGTTCTTTTTGATGCCATTTCGAAACAGAATCAAGTTTGTCTTATAATTTTTCAAATGTCCGTTTAGGGTTATGCGAAAGGTAACGCATGTATTTGCATGAAGATTAAATTAACTTTTTAGTAGTTATTAGTGACAATTTTTAACGTACCCCACATGATGTGATCGATTGGAAGCGATGCGGCAAAATTGGTAACGCGTTAGCAAACTAATATAATATGCCTATGACAGTTTTTGCCGGTACCGCCACCAATTAGTTAGGTATAAACAAATGTTGCAAGCTCATAATTTCATAATTCATAATGTTCATAATTTCTCAGTTATATGGCCATTTCTTAGGGTATGTTCTTAAATATCGTAGTGATACAATTTGACCGACGGTACGATATCCCCTACTTTACTCTATATGTAATTTCGCTTGGGTCTCTTGAAAGTAACGCAAACTAAGCACATAAAATGGCTAATTAACCGAACTCGCTCAAACATATATCTCACGATGACGGATTCCGTCATTTTCATAAAATTCTCTTGTCAAAAAACCTAATTAACCTCCCTAGCTGCGTACTTTGCCTTCACAAGCATAACATACCAACAAAATTCCTCAAATTAGCAGTTATCAAAATGCACTGTATTTCATTTTAATAAAGAAGAACTTTCCCCACTGAAAATCAAGAGTGAACATATTAGGGGTCCCTGTAGGTAGTCACTTATTTTAAACCGAAGTAAGTTCATACATGAAAAGAGACCGACGACTTGTAGATACCTTTAGTGTAAAATAGAATTCATGAAATTAATTTATGAATCGACAAATCGGATGTCAACTGAAAATTCCTTAGCCATGAAAAACTAAAAATTAATTCTTATTAGGAACGTGGATCCAATGATGCTTGGTTCAACACCCATACGAGACTTCTCAGCACACATGGCCGGTCGGATTATAAAATATATATACTACTTAGGTAAGAGAGTCATTTTTTAGGGAGTCCCCAAATAATGCACCTGCACGGCGATTTTAGATAGTTATTTCCGGTTGTTTCACGCGCTTCGTGTCGTTTTAATGTCTTCGCCCCGAGCATTTTGCCGATCTTTATCACCTCGTAGCGTGCTTCTCGGGCTTATCTAAACGAACTATTTCACGCCAGTTACTTGAAACATAATAATCGAGATCAGGAAATCTGGACCAAAGGGTGTGCTCAAACGAACAAGGAAATTGATTTGCACGCCTCGTAAGCGAACGATTAAAAGCTACGAGCGACAGGTGCAATTACTAATCAACGCGTACAGGCTCCTCAATTAAACATGCGAAGATTGAAACAAGTAGTATAAAAAAAGACACATTTTGGAACAATAGTTGATCAAACCTCCCCAGTTTCCCTTCCACTTTGATTAAACCCTTAAAAAGCGTATCGCAGAATTCCACAATCATGGTTATAAAAACTTATAAAAAAAATTATAAATACAATGTTAACGAAGAGTAGAAAAAAACGAAGATCCTTGAATATCTTGCTTAATGGCGACAGTAACATCATTCACTAGCGAATAATATAAATATTGAAGACATGAGAATGAATAATGTAGAAAATTGTAAAATGTATACAATGTCGATATTGCTTAATTGGAACTAGTTCCCATTGACTGGTTTCTGTTCATCCTTTTAATTAATATATGATAACGTTTGCATATATATCTTATTGGTAATTATGCATACAAGGGTGATCCTCTCCGATTTTCGTATAACTTTATATATTGCAGAGGACGTCGTCCCGACCATTTTCATACATATATTTAACTGAATATTTTCGGAGTTATTAAACACATGAAGAATAGCAATAATACAGCATGGCGGAGCGTGTTGCTCCCTTAAAATATAACCTAACCTAACCTATTCAATTTCAGTAATAGTTTAGGGTAGATTAAAAAATCAAGAAATTGATCTTGGCAAATGGTAAGAAATTCGCTTAATTTCATCTTCGATCTTCGACGCCTCCGAGGACTAAACAATGGACTACGTGATAATAAACATGGCAAAATATAAGAAAGAATGTGAGTTCTGAATATAAACAAAGCGATGGAACTATGAAAGTAGCCAACTAACATCTTCTGTTTTCTTTTATTCATTGTAACTCCGAAAATATTCAAGTCCGATCCTTAAATATATATATAGTATTCGCTACAATATGTAAAAATTATACGAAAAGCGGAGAGAATCACCATCATATGCATAATTACCGTTATATTTATCATTCAAATAAGTGCATATCATTTTGTTAATTTTTTATATTAAATCAGCTAGCATTAATGTGAACGTTAGATAACGTCGTCGATATTGAATTTGATACGCATACTAAATAGGTAGTAATATAAAAACATTGTATATGCAATTTACATCACAACATTTAACATTACTTTATGATTATCTTGTCGAATGTTTATGTACATTACCTACATGAAACGTGTATTTAATACCGCCAATTATGTTTTCCCCAAACAGCAAGATTACTTTGACTTCGATGATGAATAAATAATATCAAGTTAATGCATATTAAACGTCATTTAGCCGTTATTACCCTGCAGCAAGCTTTCGGAAGGGAACGGAAGTACCTTCTCTCTAAAAAGGCTAACATCGGGCGGTAAATTGTCGCACTGAGGAAAATGTACAACTGGAGGCGAATAAATTTTAGTCACATACAAACCTAGTAGACTTTCACTTATTTCTACATTTTTCGTTTAGTACTAAGTATTTCACTTTTAATTCCCGTTAAGAAATAATTATTTCAACCATTGAAAATGTCCCTTGAGTCAACGATCCGATTTTTAAACGGGCACATTTATTTCATTTCAAGTACCTCATTTTTCTCAATGCGATCTCTAACGGATTCAAATGGGACATGTCGGTAATTTACATCTTATAAACAATGGAAGTTATTTTCTCGCAGACTGGCCGATCCAGGGTCTCCCATTGGCTCTTTTTTTTCCCAGGCTCGATTCAATTGAAACGTAAATGTCGGAGTCGCTTGAAACGTGTACTCGTAAACTTAAGCCAGAAGAGTGCCTTTCCGTGAATACATTATCGGTCTAGCCATTATTATCATTACACACCGCGAGGGACTTTTGCAAATTCTTGGAACTGGAGCGTGAAATAACGGCTTGGAAACAAGTAGAAAAATAACGCGTCATAAATCACGAAGGGAAAAGAAGAAAAAAAAGGGCTGGCGCCTTTCAATTAAGACCGCCCACTTTCCCCCCAAATAGGGCGAATGGTACTTGAAGGCAAAGTGGGCGATCCTAAATGGCAGGCATTAATGACCGTCCGGGTACCCGGGTACCCTCGACAAAGTTCCTAATAAGGTTCCAAAACGCGAACTTCGACTCAGGGGCATAAACGTAAATTTCCCCCGAATATGAAGGAAACACGTTACCTTTATCAACCCTTTTTTACGTTTTAACGTCCACGACCTGATACCGAAACGTTAATCTACGGATTAAGAACGAGAACCGGGACGAACTTACATAAGTTCACGCCGGATTAAATTTAAACAAAATCCGACCATAAATGCTACCGATGGGAATAAGTACGACGAAAGCAAATCAGGTGGGTCCAAAAAAGCCGCGAAACCGTACTCAGGCTTTATTTTTAGGAAATAAAAAATGGCTTCGCTCCAAGCTTAAAGTTATACCGTTAAAAAAAAATGCATAAAATTCATACACTATTATAGTACATAAGGCAGCAGTGGAATTATAAATCTGATGTCCTAATGGTGAATTAATATACATTTATTTTAAAATTCTAAGTAAATTTATAGTTTTATAACGTCGTGTCGTAATTTTGCGAAATTACGGGGAAAAATTATAAATTCGATATTCGGATGTCATTTGGTACGCATTGATTGGACATTTCTTAGATGAGCTTTTAATTTTACGACCGTTTACGGGAATTTAGATTTAAAGGAATTTAATCGAAAGATTACGAGTATCGGCGGTACTGGCGGAGAAGCATTCTCGAGTCCGAGAAATATTTAAATAATATTTTTAAAAGATTCTTACAATCGATAGAAAACTCCGGAAGCACCGTGGACAACGCACCTGCTGCTTTTCCGGGTTCGATACCACGACAATTGCAAAAAAATTTTTCCGGCGTTTAAGGGAGGGCTGTCTCTAAAATCGTCCTCGAACGTGCCCGGAACACACGTCAAGTTATATTGTCTGCAGCAAAATCCGTTTAAAATCAAGTACCGATCAACCCAAATTGATAACATATATTATAAATTTATCACACATATGTACTAAATTTACAATACACGTTAAACATTTTATTTGAAAATATGTTATAAAATTAGTACACCACGTCTGAATAAAACTTAAAAAAAAAAATGTTAGAAAATTATGATAATTTTTTTTTAACAGGGTACCTATCATCCCCTGACACCGTTCCTCCATCAGCTATCCGATGCGCTATTCGGTCCGAATAAAAGGAAAATGTTTACGAATGATCGATTTCCCTCCCTCGAGCAGGTCCACCCTTTTGTCCATTCCAATAACATGCATATCGATACCCCGGTGGAACTCGTCCACATTTAACCCCGCGTCCCGGGTACCTCGGTCATTCACATTCCTCCCTTATCCGCCCCGCGTCGCGTCCTTCCCCGACTCGGGGAAAAAGCGGTGCCCGATCGCTGGGCAGTCGGAAACCGCCCCAAGAAAAAGAGTAACCCTGAGCAACAGACCGTCTACGAGGGGCGCGGGCGGCGCGGGCGGGGCGTCGATCCGGTGGTGCGTCGGGTGCGAGTGAAGCCTCGCGGGATGGATCGGCGGCTCCCAAGGGCGCGCCACGGTGGCGGCGACGAGGCTGTCGTCGTCGCGGTCGGCGGCGGCGGGCCTGGTCGTCTCGTCGTTGCCGGCGGCGCGGGCCGAGCCGGTCGCGGGGCTGCCGCTACCACTGGCACTGGCACTGCCACTGACACTGACACACCCGGCACCGGCGATGCCGTCGACCACCATGTCATCGATCGTCGCGGCAGCGGGCCTGGCAGTTCCCGGAGGTGTCGCGACCCCGCCGCCGATCATCATCACCGCGCGCTCTCGGCCGGGCCTCCCCTCTCAGGCGTTCCGCGGCATCCCCCCGCGACGCGTCGAACCTTATCGGGCCGCGGGAGGACTTCCATCCAGGCGCAGGCGCAAGCGCCCTCTCGCCCTCGGCGGCGTCGCCTCGGTCGGTCCGGTCGCGGCGAGGTACGCGGCGCGGCGCGGCGCGGCGCCTATACGTTTCCTCGGGCCCGCTCGTAACCGCTCGTAACTGCTCGCGCTCCGCCGGATTCGAGCAGATTGGCTTCCGTTCGGCGGCTCGAAGCGCGCCCAGACTGCCTTCCCCCCACCTGTTCGCTCTAAAGGTGAGATCAAGATTTAAGGCGCCTCGGCGCGCGAGGCGTTCTCGCGGAGGGGGGGGAGCGGGAACCGAGGTAAAGGCCACCTTGCGCACCCCCGCCGCGCATCCGACCACCGCCCACCGACCATTACCGCCGGATCGACCAATTGGATGACCCCGTCGCCGCCCATGGATCCGACGCCCCCCGCGATTCCCCGGGCGACAATTAAGGTGAAGTGAAACCACCTTCAAATCAGTCGATTCGAATACAACACTTTTTTTTAAGGGTATTAGACCAAACTGTCCGAAACTTTGACACATGACTCGTCACCATATAAGAATTGTCCCGACACATTTAAAATTTGGATTTTTTGAAAAAATTTTTTAACTCAGCCCAGACAAGAAGCAAAATAGCGTCGAGCTCTCATATTTCGATCAATGTACAATTATTGAAGGCTCTGATATGAGAATCGAAAGGGTCAGGACAATTTTACGACAATTTGGAACACTTTGATAGTCGATAAACTCATATTTGAACGGGATAAGGGCAAAAAAAGTGTTGTATACGCTTCTATGCTAAAACGATGGGAATACGGGGTCTCGGAGTGAAAATTTAATTCACCTGGAAATCACAGATGGCGCAGGGGGTCCCTCTGCAGTCAATTAGGGCCCCAGAAAGCACGAATCCAGAGGATTTCTGGAGATTTACTTCGATTTCTTTATAATTATTGTACGAAAACGACAGATGGAATATACTATTTGGTACAATACCCAATATAATTCGACCCAGCTGTCAATATAAAAACGAACGTCGTCAACGTAGGCATTTAGAAAAATCTTCTTTATCGACGTTGATCAAGTTAATCGACGTGTTTCACTTCACCTTAATCCAGCAATAGAGTTCGAAAATTCTCGGTAACATTAAATTGGAGAAGGTAACTGTGAAACACACCGTAAGTTACCGGGAACATTGAGAATTTAAGAGAACGTTAGTTTTGTTATTTATACTTTAGGTTTCTTCGTTTAAATAACTTTTTTTTTTTCAATCAACTTCAAAGTTCAAGCTAAAGAGTAATAATTACTATTAGAAAATATTTATTATAGGGTCGTATTTACCTCCAGCTAAAAATATTCACGTATGTACAACTTCACGGAGAATTCCATGCGATTTGTTTCAAACGAACTGATATTTCATTCTGCGACGAAGCGAATGGGAGGTTTTCATTGGCTACGGAGAACGTACAACGGAAATTCCCCTCTACGATGTTTCTCTATGGCTAATCGAAACCTCTCGTTCGCTCTGTTGAAAAATTCAAATTCTCATAATTTCTCGATAAAAAAGGCTTTGGAGAAGTTACCGGGAATTTCTCTTCGTTTCTGACGTAACTTACTGGATTTAGAACTCTATCCAGCAATCGGCCGTCGATCGTCCTCCACGCGGCGGGCGACCGGTCCCTTCGCCTCTGTGGATCGATTCGCGCCCGCCGATGCGAAATCCCTGTTGGTGCCGTCTGACACTTCGCATCGGAACCCTAAGTATGGATGTCGAGCTTTTCCGGGAAAATGGAACGAAGCACTAAGCGGCGGGATAAGGGAAACGTTTACGGGGGATAATTTACTTAGTCGAGGAAATTATGACGCAAAGTTTGTCCGTCGTCCATCCTGCTCGTGAGCCTTCGTACCCTGAGAAAAAATTCCCATGTGCGTTTACACCCTGGATTGTTGGTTATTTCGATGCCACGGTAATAACGTAGTACATTGTCCATGGTCGGAATCTAAATTTACACGAAAAATGTATTTTAAGTGTACACTCGATATGTAAACGTGAAGTGTAATGTTACGTACAAAGTGTAATTCTGCCGTGTAATATTTACGTTGCTAAACTCTTTACGATTAAATTTCCAATGTTCAACCGAGGGACATTTCGAAGCGGTACCTTGGTTCATGTGGTTGTAGACATGCTTCGATAATATTTTTCGGTTTTAACTTCTAAACCCCCAATCTCGTGCCGAACAATTAAATTGTTTAGGTCTGAACTGTTTATTTTTGTGACATCTTAAAAGGTGACTTTTCAACGCTGAATGTATTCTTAATTTTATGCCACGATCTTGTCGTATACATATAAAATTAATACCGCGGACATTACGGCGATAATATCGATGGGCCTCGTATGCTAATAGAGACGTAAAATTGCCAGAAGATATTCTGCATGGAAACATAACCATAATTAGAAGATGCCTGTTACGTCCTTACTTCTTTCGCGTCAATATGATACATTAGTTGAGGCAGGTCAGATCCTTAGAATGTCAATCTTCGGCCAGTGAATGGCAAAACGCACGTAACAATTAAAGATGCGACACATTTCGACGCGTTTTCTATTGTTCTCATACGAGAAGACGCGTGGGGATCACGTGACTGAATTTAGGCGATCCGATTGGCTAAGTTTACCTAATAATAAGTATTTTTACCCGGCCCCGGGTATTCATAGGCATCGATATATAAATTTACAAGGTAACTTGTAGACGTACGTATATGATAAAGATCTTACATGCCACGAGAGAAATTACAACGTAACGTTACATTTAATTCAAGTTAAAATGCAGTAATGCAGTAAATATACAATGTCACGGGCATTTATGCATTTTGTGATTCGTAATTTTTCCATTTTACTATCTTTTATGCAAATCTTCAGTTGTACAGGGCGTAAAAATGTATGTAAATCTCCATCGATTTTTCTCAGTGTATGCGAAAACATTACCCGGAGGATCTCGGTACCTTTGTAGAGAGCAGCGGTCTCGCGAAGCTTGAACGTTGAAATGAAATATCGGAAGGTAAGTTGAAATTTAAAATGACCGATACATGTTCACCTTCCCTGGGAGCAGAGGAAACACCTTGTGTTTTAACACCCATGCCGGGAGTTCTTTATGGATGTAGGATGGCTGGAAATTAGGTTATGTTCGTTTCGCTCAAACTTTACGTGGCGATAACGCATCGATTCCTTTGGATATGTCCCGTCTTCGAGATCCATAGATGGTAGAAAGAAAATGTTTCTTTTCCTTTTTAAATCGAGCACGAAGTCGGGAACGCGGTTTTACGTAATTATTTCAAACGGAATAAAGAGGAAGAATGATGCATTTCGCTGGAAATACGTTTCACCTTATTCAATTTGCATTGTTTCCGTGCCGTAGAGGTCCGCTCGGTGAGCTCTAGTTGTGACAACTTACGGACGGAAAGGTGTCATCAAGTTCATATCGTGACAGCGTTTTCGCAAGCATTGCAACATTTATAGCCATTGTAATGTAAACGGTTGTCGACCGCGTCGGCAACGGGCTCGATGACAAACAACGAGTCGAACATGAACCCTGAATAATTCCCTGGATACTCCTAAAGTTTCAATAAACAATCACTTTATATGAAACATCACGTAAAAAATACTAACTTAGGAACGATGTGTCAAAGTTTCGGACAGTTTGGTCTAATACCCTTAAAAAAAAGTGTTGTATTCGAATCGAATGATTTGAAGGGGGTTTCACTTCACCTTAACAAATGATTGGTACTAACCGCCTTGGCCAATGTCGTCCTTACAACGGCGATCGGCCATCGGCGGGACCAGTGGCAACGAGTTAATTAATTCAGGTGTTTAAGTACCTCGTTCGCGAGGTACCTGTCTGAGCCGATAGCTAACGAGAGCGGCTTATTAATCCTGATGTTATTAGGCTAATCCTTATCTTCCTGACGTAGATACCGGAGTTTGCGCACGTATTTGCGGTAACGAGTCGAGCCTCGAATATGGTGTATATGAGAGATACGTCACGAAGATCGTGTCGCCGAGTACCGAGGATAAGACGACTCGTTCGGAATATGATTACGATTACGCGAACTGCCTCACTCATTTTCTCCGTTCAATTCGCCCTGGCAGATGCGTCTTCCCTCCACCCGCCGATGATTTCACTTCGGAGTATTTTCCAGGGGCCCGATTCTCGAGTTTATACAGATTTTTCTCCCGTAAGAATAGATTCGCATGAAATATGTCGCATGAAATACTTCGCATGAAATACTTCGCATGAAATACTTCGCGTGAAATACTTCGCGTGAAATACTTCGCGTGAAATACTTTGCGTGAAATACTTTGCGTGAAATACTTCGCGTGAAATACTTCGCGTGAAATACTTCGCATGAAATACTTCGCATGAAATATTTCGCATACGAGGAGTAAGACCAACTCTTGAGGACCCTTCGAATTGGATTCGGGCGAATTACTCGTAGGTAATCGTACGCGACTACGGAGCAACATTGCCGCTTGTCTGTGAAATGCTCGAAGCAATGAAATGTTCGCTTTAGCGATTGTTTATTTTTTCTCCTGCCATTCCCTATGTGGTTGTATTGATCTTCAAGCCCTTCATAAAAACCGATAGTTTTATGTCACTTTCATATACGAATTATCTCTTTCGCATGCTATGACCCATGCGATGTAATTCGCGTGGTATCATTCTAATACGAAACCGCGGTGATCACTCAAGAATACCAACTGTTGAAAGTCGTATACGAAACTGTCAATTTCGTATGAGAAAGTTGGTCGTATACAGTCGAGGATCGGATCCCGGCAATGGAACGTGACGTAAGGATTCGAGAACTCGAAGGCTACGATCGTCTCCACGGTGCAATGGAAAAAAAAAAAATATTAACTAAGAATACGACAAGTCGG